TGGTGCCCCCGAGGCCCCCACCTCTGGCTCCCCGTCCGGTGCCCCCGAGGCCCCCACCGCCCGGCTCCCCGTCTGGTGCCCCCGAGGCCCCCACCGCCGGCTCCCCGTCTGGTGCCCCCGAGGCCCCCACCGCCGGCTCCCTTTGTGTCCTCTTGGTCCCCCACCACTCTGAGGCGGTGTTGGGGCTCGTGGTGCCCAGATGCGTCTAAGTCAGCTTGCTGCCGGGGATGGGGTGGGTGGGGGCTTCCGTTCTGGGTTCTCCCAAGAGTGACCCGATCACGGAGCCTTGGGTACTGGTTCTTGGAAGAGGCCGACCGGTTCAGTGTCATTGTGCCGTCCCTGTGGTGAGGGAGCAGAAGGCTGCCATGTGCCCTGTGGGGTGGGCGACCATGAATGCGCCTTTGTGCTTGTAAATGACCGCTGTGAGGAGAGGCAGTTCTATCGATTTCCGTTTCACACAAAAGCCACTTTTCACGGAGGGCCCCGGCCCCGGCCCACAGAGCAGGGCTCTGCTGGCCCGTATCACAGCTGCCCTGGTCCCGGGACGGGAAGGAACCGTGGGCGCTCCCACAGGAGTGGACCTGGTGTGTGCCAGTACAAACTGTAGACCCAGACGGCAGTCAGGAGGGGTTTGGGGGCGCTCTGACCCCCGTGGTCTCTGCTGCCTTCTGCCCCTCCCTCCCCTGAGCTGGGGACTCATGGCCTTCCTGGCACAGCCAGAAGCCTGGAGAGGCGGAGATGATATTCTGGGGACCGCGGTTGGGCAGTTGGTGCTGGAGTTGACAGTGGGTCCCTGAGGTGGTGGAGGTTTGAAAACAGAGTCCACAGTGGCTGGCACTGTGTGGTCAGCGCCTCTGAGAGTCACAGGGGCTGGGCCAGCCTGGGTCCTCTGTGCTGCTACCTTGAGGTGACCAGAGTCCCTTCCAGGGAGTTGGGGCCCCATCTCCGAAAAGGACAAGCCCGCCCGGTCTGTGAGAGTCCCAGGGTCCCTGGTGGGGACCCTGCCAGTCTGCTGGCTGCAAGTTGGTATCCAAGGCTGGTGTCCATCCTGTTTCCATGGCAGGTCCTCAGGTGCCGCCCAGTCTTTCCCTGAGGAGTTTGCAGCCAGGAGGGTGAGCTCCTGGAGCCCAGATGTCGAGTGACTTCTGGGGAGACGTAAACAGAGTCTGTGCGCCCTGGATAGGTCACCCACGGGACTGGAGGGGCTCCGCCCAGGTGGGGCTTAAGGGAGCGGTGGACTCATGGGGAGTCCTCACCGGAGTGTGGGTGGCTCGTCACTGAAAAGCCGGTTCCTGACAGGCTTGGCGGCCCTGGACTATCTCCCCCCAGCAAGTACTGTGTGTGTGTCCTCAGCCACGGGAGGACACGGCCTTACGAGCTTACAGCTTTCTGAATTTAGGAAAGTTACGGTGGAGTTCCGAGCCGTAGACCCCCGCCCCCTTCCTCTTCTGTGACATGCCTGAGCCTTGGGAGGGAGATGTGGGCATTTCTCTGATGAAGGTTGACCCTGGCCCACTGTCTCGTCAGCTCTCGGGAGCTGGGTGGTTTCCCCCTGACTGAACGGGCCGGCAGCGGCCGTGATCCTTAGAGGTAAACACAGATGTGTAGAGGGCATCTTGACAGGCACATCACAAACGTTCATCAAAACAGCAGCGTGGACGAAGCCCTGCATTCCATCCCTGACGCCACAAAACCAGGTGTGGGCCTGTCATCCCAGCACACAGATCCCAAGTTCAGGGTCATCCTCAGTTAGAAAGAGTCGGTCTCCAGCCCGGGCTACACGAGACCCTGTCAACAGCAGCCACTGTGTTCCTGCTGCGGACGGTGGTCTCCCCAGCGAGAGCCTTTGCCCGGGCTCACAGCACATGTGAGTTGTAGGCAGGCCTTGTGGCCAACCTGAAGTCATTGGTCACGCTTGGAACAGCATGTCACTTCTGCGCCAGCGGCACATCCCCTGTGAGATGTTGCGGTGCACAGGGCCCGTCGTCCTAGTCTCGGGGTGGCCTGCCAGCCCGGCCCCAGCCTGATTTCCCTGTCTTGCAGCTAGTTTGTGATGTCCTTTGCTGCGGGCCGCAGGAATATATCATAAGAACTCAGCTGGTTATGGCAAAGTCACTACCTGGAGGGATCAGGGAATTCCTCCAGAGGAAGCCAAATCCCAAGGAGTTTTTGGTGTTACTTGGCTTGTTATATATCAGCTGTCTTCTGTTATGAAAATCATGTGTGCCTTCCTAGTTTTCCCAGTTGACTTTCCCCTAAGAAGGACTAACAGTGTGGACTGATCACTCTCTGGACATACACATTCCAGGCATTTGGAGAACAGCCTCAGGAAAGGCTTTCTCTGGAATCAGATATCTCCCCTAGCCACTTTCAAGGACTAAAGGAGACATCACCCAGGTGGCCACCCAGTTTCCGAGGATTAACAGTGATAACAACCCACAGGCGAGTCTCCTGACTTAAGGTAAATTCCACAAGGGGACACCGCCTAGGTCAGGTAGACATTAAGTAATAGCTTTACACAATTTAGCTCAGACCCCTCCTTTCTTACAGCCTTACTAACTTTATAGACCTCTAACTACTTACCTAACCACTTCTAGGAATATTTAGATAACCTGTGTGCTAACAGCTATGCTCAGCCAGAACTCCCAGTTCAAGCCTCCCTGTAATTATCATTATTGGTAGCATCCGGCCAGGTCCATCATCGGATGGAGGAAAGTACCTTATCAGAGATACCTCTGTACTCTCTAAGAACAGACTTAAGCATCCAGGTTACCTGTTTGAGAAGGCCTGGCGGATGTGTCAATTAAGCCTATTCTTATCACCCCTCCATTTGACCCTGGAAGTCTGGCTTTGCACTGCTAAGGAAATACTGCTTGTAAGTGTATATATACCAGAACTCCCAGGGCAGGAGAGGACAGAGAAGAGAAAAGAGAATGGAAGAACTAGATGGGTAAGAACTTGAGAGGAAC